ATCACCACTGCGAAATTGGACGTCACAGGTCAAAGGGCAGTGGGGAAAGGTCAGATATCAGACATTTTCTGAAGACATGGCCTAATGGGAAAACTTTTTTGTTTCAGCGCTGACTTACCATTTTTATCACTTTATTGAAAGGACCATGAAATGTGCTTTCCCCTGACGTGTGAAGAGTAAGTGTCTGATAACCTTTTGACCTTCAAGAGGAGGGTTAAACATGGATTCCTGAACTGCCTCAATGACTTAACAGTGTTGTCATATTTATGGCACATCCATAATCTAGAAACCCAATAAGCCTGGATATCCGAACGCGTACAGCACAGGTGTCACGGCTCAAAGGTTTTTTTATTATTTACCTGTTTTTTGTATTTTTCTATCTTTATCCATTTAACTATTTTTTTCCAATTAACGCAAATATTTACATGATTTATTTACAACAATTTAATAACAACAAATAATTTTTACAACATTTTTTTTTTTTTTAAATAGGATTAGGGTTAAGGTCACAATGCACCATAAAACAGGAGTTTCAGGCACGCGATTTGTATCAACCAATGGGATTTGGGCAGGTATGCAGAATGCAGAAGGTTGCTGAAATGATGTGTACGCAACTGTGTATCTGCATATCTGCGCCTAACAAAGGTGTCACTACGCACAACTTAAATGTTACGTTTATAACCGTAGCAACAGACTTCAGATGAGCCCAGACGCTCTGAGGCTCTTGTTGATATATATATATATCAAGAGTACATAATAGAGAAGAGTATGACACCGTTTTAACAGCATTTTGCATAGTTTTCAACTTGTAAATATTCTATCAATATGTGAATAAATATATTCAAACTTTACCTTGTTTTCGTCTATGATTCTCCCTTAATCATATGACACCACCAATTTACCTGAAAATCGTATGTGTTTATCAAAAAAGTTTTTTTAATACGACACGGTTTCACATCATTTTCTCAAATGAGCGCATGTATTCGACTCATGTTGATATGCGGCGGCAGCACCAGGTTGTAACTACGGGACGCTGGGTGCTGTTGCGGATATTAGGTAAGCACAATAACAGCACTTGTTTCGCTTCATTATCATCAGGAAGACGATGGCAACACAGCTAAAATCAGCTGCTAGCTCGCCGTGAGCACACATTTATTTTTAGCACGCTGAAAACGCTACACGCTGAATACAATTCGATGCCTAATCTCCCCAGCAGCCCCCAGCATTCCGTCATAGACAATAGAACACTAATCCCATAATGAACTTGCGCCGAAAAAATGCGCTCATTTGTGAAAACTGTGTGAAACCGTGTCGTATTCAAATAACTTTTTTGAAGAACACATACGATTTTCAGGTAAATTGGTGGTGTCATATGATTAAGGGAGAATCATAGACGAAAACAAGGTAAAATTTGAATATATTTATTCGCATATTGATAGAATATTTACGATATAAATATATGCAAAACGCTGTTAAAACGGTGTCATACTCTTCTCTATTATGTACTCTTGATATATATATATATGTGTGTATATATGTATGTTTACATGGTTCTATCTCTAGGTGCGTCCCTCGTCGTACATGGCGTGCCTCCCCAGTTCCCCCTGGTGCTCGCTTACATTAATATATATATATATATCACACTATATATATTAGTGTAAGCGTGCAACAGTGGCGCAGCTAATGTTAATGCTAAGATAACACTCAATGTTAATGTTAAGACTAATGTTAAGACTAATTTTATTTCAGTGACAGGCCCCAGGTCGCTACAGATAGCACGCCATGTCTCTCAGTTTACGGCCTGTTGTCCTATTTCTGTTTTGCGTTTGCTCTTGCACCACTGTTTCCAAACTGGATCGCTCTGCAAGTAACTGTAGAACAACTACAAATGACTGTGTTATAAATTGGCCTAAATGCCATGTGTTTTGTTGGACCGAACAGTTTTGGTGTATACACCAACCTGTATCCTTTGCCTAGTGGCTTGTGACTAACCAGTTTCTATCTTCTGTTCTTTCTGACAATGTTGTTTTATGGTGTGCGTTGCAGGTGAGAGGGTCTGTGTTTTTCACTTACAACGGACAGAAGCTGGCAGCAACCCTCGATGGCGTGGCAGGTGGGCTGTGGCCCATCATACACATGCAGAAAAAGGTGAGCTGTAGCAGTTGTGCCCTTGTCACCACATCGACGGTTGTCATAGCAACGACGTCCTTCTAATGCTAGATTTTCATTGGAACTAATCGAATATTTTTTTAAAAGAACATAGGTTCAGTACAATAAGTAATTTACATATTCGTATGCAACTAGTAATTCATAACATCATGAATTTTAGCATGAACTTTTCATTAAAAAACTGTATAATAACATTATAATACCAACAACAATATTTATCAAATATAAATGCGTAAAAAAACAAGCCGAGAAGTTTGGCGTGCGTAATGTCGAAGGCGCGTTCACTTGTTTCCGTCAGAACGTGCGCATCAAGACGAACTTCGGACAGAGGGCGTTTGTGTACGCGGAGGCTTCGCGGCTGCAGTGCGCAGACTCCGACTTCTCACATGAGATAAGCGAGACGTTCGGACTTCTTCCGTTCCACGATGGCGCCACTGAGGAACCAGAGGGCGCTGGTACAATTGTTTGTCGGCACGGCAACGGTGTTCTGCAGCATTGCACTATTTCAAAGTCATCTCTGCGGAATTAACGTTTGACGTGCGATGATACATTTACAGCATCGGTCTAATTCTCGTATAGTCGAGCCTTGTCGTAGGAAAATGTTTTACTGCACACACAAAAAATGACAATTTCCACTAAGAAATGAGTGGTGCCTCATATATATCAGGAGTTAATAAAGACAAATTTGTCTTTTGTAATTTGTCTTTTGTAATTTGTCTTTATTAACTCCTGATATATATCTATATATTCTTGTAGCGGCGATGGAGGGAGCTGGGGGAAGCCGAGGGAAGCCTGTGGGAGAGCTGAGGTCACCACCTCGTGACTCTCCCTGTCGCATCACCAGCACACCGAATCCACTGAAAGGTACAAATTCAACAACATACTCCCTTACTATCCTCTTGGTCCCCTGATGGGACATAAGGCCATTATTCAACAACATATCTGCCACACAAGCACTGCATGCACTACATCGTCTGGTTTTGTATAAAAGATACTAAGCTAGGGGTGGATGACCGATGGCTAGTGGACCAGATGTGGCCCCCAAATAAATTTTATAGCTTCTTCTCGGGTCACTACACCAGTACACTACACTCGACCTAGCCACTGCGGCACATAGGACCTGGCACGGTGGTTGAAAGCTTAATTTTATAGCTGTAACATGGTATAACTTTCTAGAACCCACCGAGCTAGAGTACATAGTAATTACATAATCGCGTGTTAATATTGTGTAGAATAGAGTAGATAGTAAGTAACTAAATCGCGGGTGAGTTAATATTAGTGTAGAATAGGAGTAGTAGTAAAGTAACAATATTGTCGTGTTAATATTGTGTAGCAATAGAGTATAGATAGTAAGGATACATGAGAGCGTCACGTGTATACAATCGAATTGTGTACGAATAGAGTGAAATTAGTGAAGTAGCACCTAATCGCGTGGTTAAATATTGTGTAGAATGCAAGACGTCAGATAGAAAGTACATAATGCGCAGGTGTTAAAGTATTTGTGTACGAATAGAGGTGAAAGATAGTAAGTACATAATTGCGTGTTAATATTGTGTAGAATAGAGTAGATAGTAAGTACATAATCGCGTGTTAATATTGTGTAGAATAGAGTAGATAGTAAGTACATAATTGCGTGTTAATATTGTGAATAGAAATCAAGAAATGTAGATAGTCAAGTACAGGTACAGATCGCGTGCGTTAAATATTCGTGTACGAGATGAGAGGTAGATAGTAAGTACATAATCCGACGTGTTAAATATTGTCGTAGAGACTAGAATAAGATAGTAAAGTACTAACTGTTCGTGTCTAATTTTTTCGGTGTATGGAATGGAGTAGAGTAGCAAAGTATACATTTAAACTCCACGGAGTGTTAATTATTGTCGTATGAATAGAAGGTAGAGAAATGCATAGTAAGCTATACATTATCAGTGTTAATATTGTAGTAAATGAGGAGCTAAGATTAGCTAAGTACAGTATCGGCGGGTATCGTTAATATGTGGTAGAATAGGAGTAGATATGTAAGTACAATAATCGCCGGTGTTAAATATTGTGGTAGAATAGAGTAGATTAGTGAAGTTACAGTAAATTGCGGTGTTTAATATTGTGTAGAATAGAGTAGAGATAGTAAGTACATAATCGCGTGTTAATAATTGTGTATGGAGTAGGGAGTAGATAGTACGTGACAACGATAAAATTTGCGTGTTAATATTGTGTACGAATAGAGGTAGCTAGTTACCAGTACATAATTGCGGTGTTTAATATGTGTAGAAATAAGTCTAACGTCATAGTAAAGTACA